ATTCTGATAAGAGAATATCCTGTGACGAAGAATTCTCTGACTCTGAAGACGAAGGAGAAGGAGGGCGCAAAAATGTTGCCAACTTTAAGAAAGCTAAGCGGGTGAAAACAGAAGAGGAAAAGGAGGAAGAGGAGAAGAAAGGTAAGCATGAGAGCGAGGACTGGAAGTCCTCCTAGCTTCGTAGAACTTTGTCTGGCATGCGTGTACCCTTGACTCTCTCTCTTGTTCTTTCATGGCTTGGGACGTTTATCCTTTCTGAAGGACTGAGGGGAACTCTGCTTTCTGTTTTTTAATTTGGGCTTAACAAGTTAGTTCTGGTCTAATATCTTGTCTCCATTTTCATGTCCCATGTCCCTGCAGGCTATTTTTCTACTGCTCTACTATGTGTCTTTTTTTCTTTTCTAGATGAGAAAGAAGAGGAAAAAGCAAAAGAGGAGAAAGCAGAACCCAAAGGGTGAGCCCTGTATCCTGGCATGGCAGTTAAATAGCTGCATTTGTATTTCCTTAGGCATCTGCCTATGCCTCTTTTGGGATGTTGCATAACTTGTGGGGTTTGGAGGCGAGACATGGTAGTCTGGGTGGCTTTGTCATGGGCTTGTGACAGGAAGGAGTTTGCACGCGCAGAACGCCATAACTGAAAGCACTGCAAGAGCCCTCAATGAAAAGGGCTTAAAAATGCTGGGCATTCATTCAGTACCATTTTGCATGTCAGCGACATGCAAGTTTTAGATGCAGCTTGACATCGGAGCGTGGTAAGTGTGTTTAGGACAGGCCATCTAAGCAGCATTCTTTATGTTGTGGCTCTAGCCTGTTGTTAAAGCTTTCCACAGACCGAGTTGTTTGTCTAAAGCAAACTCTTCACTGCTTGCTTTCACAGGGTGAAGGAAGAGACTAAATCTGCCTAAGATGGCTGCAGCTGGACAATACCTGTCAGTGCGTAGTTATCATAGGTTAGCTTCTCTGGTTGCCTCCCATTCCACAGGATTTATATTTTATATATGTTTCTGTATATATTTCTATATAAATATATAAATGACTTGAGAACTGTAAATTATTCCTTGCTGCACTCCGCTGGGAGCAGATAGGGAGGATTCTGCGGAGTAGACAGACCTGCACTGCCCAGAATTGGTGACTGGGAAGTTTCACTCTTGCCTTCCACTGCCTCCTTGGTGTGTCTTTAAAAAATCACTTCCTTTCTTTACTTTCTCCTCTGAAATAACCGCCCTTGAAAAAGAATAATTTAAGTAGAAGTAGTATCTGCGTTTCAGGTTAGGTGGAAAGATGGCCATGAAATGTTTTTATTTGTTTGGTGGGAGATATGAGTTCCCAAATGAAGCCTGTGAGAGACTGACTATTCCTTTGGTCTTCAGTCTGATTCCACCATGGCAAGTAACTGCAAGCTGGTGCCGCTTCTCAGGGTCAAATAGTGCAGTTCTTGAATAGAGTTGGCTACCTCCCTGCAGCAAACTTGTGGAAAGAGATGAAGCAGCTTAAAAGCACATTTCAAAAGTGCTTTAGTGAATCAGCCCAAGAGCCCTCCAGGTGCAGATCTGGAAAACACAAAATGAAAATCGCCCTAATGTGGTTGTTAACGTTTTCCGCAGTCTTGCAGATCCAGTTAGTGTGGCAGCATTATGCATCTCAAATAAGAGAAGGGATGAAATTTTTATACTTTTTTTTCCCCTATACCAACGCCCCTCTTTGGGGGAGGAGAGAAGTGAGTTACTGCCCATTTGGCCTCTGGCTTCGCTTTCCCTGCTTGTTCTGCCCTCGGCTACGCGTGCTGTAATGTGCTTTCTCAGTACTGATCTGTGTCCTAGGCTGAAACCACTGCAGAAATTCCCAAGTCATCTAAAGACCAGACTGAACAGAGCCCAGCTGAAACCTCTTGTCGATGTGTGTCACTCACTGCAAAATTCTCTGAAGTGAAGTACAAATGTTTTCAAATCGAACCTTTTCTCTCTCTTGCTGTCAAGGCCAGTAAACGTGGAGAACCTTTTTATCTGCAGTCTGAGCTGTTATCTTTACAAGGAAACAGCAGATGGGGCTCTGTACATTTTTATAGCTACTCCTCTTCCTACTCCCACACATTATCTCACCCCCAAAGGTCTTTTGTGACCAGGACTGGCCTTTTTCTTGCATCTCCCTTTTTACAGCTGATCGTTAGATGAGCTTTCTGTGAAGTGCTTTGCTGAGCTCCAGCTTTGCAGAAGTTTTGCAGGCGGTTTTGACTCGCTGCTCTCCTTTCTCAGGGGGATTCCTCTGTCCACAAGAGGATCTGTACCTCCCACGGAGCGCTGCTGATGGTTTCGACTCTAAATAATGCTGCTAACTTAACACAGGTTATTTTTTAAATGTTTTATTTTTTTAAATACTTTTTTCCCCTTTTCCACCGTGAGTTTTTTAGTCTCTTTGAATCTGAGTGACATGTCACTCCTGCTCTTCAGTGTTTGTATGTGAAGCGAGAGAGATCAGTGTATCTTTGTGTCTGGGGGGAAAATATATTGTGGTTTTCTAAAGATGCTTTTATTTTGAATTTTGAGAATCTTTGTAATAAAACTGGTACATTTCTATGGTTGGCGTGAGTTTGTGCTGCTTTCTGCTGAGAGGAAACACTAGGTTAGAGTGGGAGTTCTGTTTTCAGTCATTGCTGGAAAATGGTGCAGTAGCTTGGTCTTGATCGTGATGTGTAGATTCCAACAAAAAAAAAAAGACAGCTGAAATAAGGCTTTGCAGAGAAAGGTGAGGCATGATTATTCCCCCCCCCCCCTTTCAAGAAGGGGGCTAGATATGAAGGCTGAAATTGATCTATCGGAGCCTATAGCATTTTATGTGGAACATACTGTGTGCTACATGTAAAAGCTTGCTTTAGTTCCTTTTGTAGACTTTTTTTTTTCTCCACTTTATAAAATAGCCTTGAAATTCTCCTCGTGACTCCTCTCTCCAGGAAAGGTAAGTGGAAATACCATCGGTTTTGGGTGCTCACACCTCTTTCACGAAGGATCACTGGGTGATTCTTTGGTCTCTTCCCTAAAGTACATCTGGGTTCACATCCAGCAGCGTTGCTGATGCTAACGGGGTTTGTGGTTTGTTCAGAGTTTAGTACTTCATGCAGATGACTCTTGTTCTGAAAGCAATGTTAATCTGGAAAGGGAATAATTAGTTATGGGAAGGGAGCATTTTTTGGATGAACTGAAGTGCTTTTTATCTGGTATCTTTTATCTGGTGAAAAAGTTTCTTTAATGAAATTAGGAGCGGGTTAATTTTTGCTTTGCTTAGAACTGAGTGCAGATCACATAGCTGGAATGCAGATTGCAGGTTCATAAGCCAAATCTGCTGTTTCTGTAGTTAAAGAAAAGCTTTGAGTGGCACAGTTGACTTCCATTGCTGTAATAATACTCCACTATACTTAGTTATCTTCCTTCCTATAGCAGACAATCAAAATCCTCTTTTCTTTCGACAGAAATAACCATACAATTCAAGTTCACCCCTGCCTGTGTGCCACTGCAGTCGTCCTTCTCTCTGTTTCAGTGTTTCTTAAAATGGCTGCCGGGAGGCTGGGTGCTAGCAAGTACTGCTCACCCTGGCAGATGCGTTGAGCCCGGTGTCTCAGCTGGAGCACACTGCAGCTGCATCTAGCATGACACGCAGAGCAATCTTGCAAGCTTAGAAATGCTGTGCGGACCGCACTGCCTCTATTTAAAAGACTGGGTTTGGCCCCTCAACTAATAGGGATTTGTGCCCTACTGAATGCGGGAGCAGGTCCCTTGCTTTAGTTTTGCACCATTTGATAGGATGTGCTGCGTAAAACTAAGATTCAGGCTGCTTCCATCTACCTCGGGGCTACAGAAGAGCATTCATCTTCCCTGTACCAGCCCCTAGCTTACCAGGCATGGTGCCAATGGTGGTCCTCGCTTTTCTTTGGACTCCTCTTTGCCAGCTGAAACAGCAGAGGCTGATTGATCAGGGAATCAGAAGTAGGCCACCAACTGAAAGAGGCTATAACCTTCATGCTCTGAGCTCTGCTGCAGTTGGGTAGTGCCCTCTGTTTTATGCCTAGTTGGCCTGTATCCTGGTAGAGCTCACAGTAGAGCTGATAGAGGCACCTGCTTTGCCTTCCTTTTTTCCATGGAAAGGGACTCTTCCCTCCCTGTGCTTAGAAGGATGTAAATAGCATAGTTCTTATGCTCTGGGACCTCTCTTTAGGAGAGAGCAACAGATTTTAGGCTGAGGCTTTTCCTAAAGGAACTATGCATTTAAAAAACAACAACAACAAAAAAAAAACCCTAGGCTGAGAAACTTCCTACGGTGGGCTACCTGGGCTGGGTCGAGTAAAGTATGGGCTCCCCTCCCTCGCCCCAGGAGAAGTTTGGTTAGACCTTTAAGGAAGCAGAGGTCCAGAGCAGCTAGATGAACAGTGATCTCGAGGTAGTGACAACAGGCTTGTGTGAGAAAGTCCTTTGTGGCTGTAGCTCTACATCTGCTGCAAGTCAATTAACTGCTAGCAGAGCTAGGGCTAGAGTGATTAAATGCAGCAGCTGGTGAACTAAATCAGCAACTGCCATCTTCCCTGGCCCTTGTTTGGCATCCGGGACAAGAAGGACTCAAGCTCACCCATAAAGGGGTCACCATTTATTCCTTTCAAATGTTACAATAAAACCCATACAGCTTTTTTAGAAGTTAGAAAATTGCAAATCAAGTGTTTTGGCCATTAAAAAATTATTTACAGAGAAAACAACATTGCTTCACATTATACAGCTGGCACACCCCCTCCCTCTACCCCCACACCCCAAAAGTTATCCCTTAGAAGCAGAATTAAACACAGCGGACTTACAAGCCTTATGGTTTTAAGCCAATAGTAAGACATTATAAAAAACTAACCAGATTAGCTTTTAAACCATTGATTTCTATAAAAAGCACAAAATACTTTAAATGAAGTCGGAACCAGGAATGTGAACTGAGAAAAAGAATCCATTGAACAGTCACTGGCTTGCTGGGCTTCAAAGGCTGCTTGCAAGATAGTGGGAACAGTCAGGAGGCCAGCAGAGAGACCAGAGCATGATGTACAAATCTGGGTTCTTATCAAACTGTAAATTCCAGTTATGTCCAGGATAGTCTTCCTCCACAGTTTTAAAGGATTCAGGTAAAACTACTCCAAGTTGCGGTGATGGTGGTGGGAATCCAGACCAGTTTCCTAACAGGAGAGGGGAAGAAATAATTCAGGGGTCAATTTTAGAGAGTGTTTGTCAGTTCTACATTGAATACGGAAGGTGTGTGGGCAAGGCAGCGAGTCCGTGGTGTTACTGGGATGAAGAGGATGGCATAAGAGTCTCAAGTTAGGACAATGCCAAGTGGGCTCTACTCTTCCTTCTGCTCAGCTGCTGCAGGAGATGTTGTAGGCTCAGGCCCTGCAGGTTTTGAGGGCTCCTCTGGTTTGGCTGTATCCCCCTGGCTTTCCCCTGGCTGCTGCTTCTCTTCCTCCTTGGTTTCCCCTGCTTCTGCATCCTCCCTCTTGGGCT